AGAGATAAATGGGGTTTAGGAGCTAAGTATGTAAATATTTAAACAGCTAAAGTCATACAAAGCTTGAAGAGCTTCCTTTTCAAACAAATAGGGTGCAGTGCCAGCTATACTTCCTTCTTGCTGTTGGAGTTTCTTCATACACAGATTTTTGTTATGAGCTGAGCACATAAGTTCTGAGCTGGGAATTTCTATAGGTCATTTACATGGTACCCAATGGAAAAGGTCCCTTGCTCTTTGACCAAGGTATTGTAATTCAAATTTTTAAAATCTTGTGATGCTAAATTGCTTTTCCATGACATTACCACTCAGGGTCAAATAAAATCACATCAGTGTATAGGAATTAGCTCTAGAGCCTCAGTGCCAATAGCTAGTGAACAAAATAATTTTCAAATAAAATATCTTGTCTCTCCTCAGTTTTATTTTGAGATTTGTCATCTTGCTTTTTATCATGACAATTCTTCTCCTAAGAAGAATTCTCTTTTGTTCCAGTGGACATTTGGTACAAGTTAAACATGATACTAAAAGAGGCACCTTAAATCAGCCAGCTTTGATTTGTGATGTACATGTGTGAGTTGGTAGCAAGGACAAACTCTGCAATATATGGAAATATACACTACATAGAGGGAAGGAATTATTTCAAATTATTAGAAACTACTCAATGTAGAATTTGGCACCTCTGCTATTTAATATTCCACACTGACGGTTTCTGTTTAGCATCTAAATGACAGGATAAAATATTTATATAGATATTTAATCATTACAGGAAAACCACAGAGTATGGGGAGATTCATGAGCTCACGACAGAAGAACAGTTTGTAGAGGGAAAATACATGGTGAAGTTTGAGACCAGCTCTTACTGGAAGGCGCTTGGGCTTTCTGCATTCCATGAATACGCTGATGTAAGTAGTGGCAAACATCCTTGATAACCAGTATACCCTGCCTGTGCTGTGGCATCAGCTGGAAAGAGGGAAAAAAAGCCCTTTAATACTGAAGGAGCAGCATCACTCAGAGAAGTGGTTCACTGCCACACAGCTGTGAGCAAATAAAGGCAGTAAATATCCAGCTAAGCCACAGGAAGGAGCCAGCTTCCCTGCAAATGCTGACACAGCTCTTCCAAAGTGTAGCTCTGCCCATGCACCCACTCACACCAGTAGGGAATCTTGCTCAAAAAGAGCTACATTATTCAAAAGTAGACAGTGTTTATAAAAACAAACAAACAAACAGGACCAAGAAAAAGAGACTGTTTTTACTGCTGCTGAAGGAATGGAGAGATTTTGGGGACCATAATTTTACAGGAAATAGGCTATACTTAAATCAGAGGTATTTCCTCCTTATCAGTCCCATAAAATCCCTGAGTTCTAATATGACATGTAATTACAGGAAAAAATTAATTACAGGAAAAAAATAATTCCTTCTGGTGTGCCATTTTTAAAATTATGTTCAGTACCAAAATATACAATAAAAAAAAAAAAACCAAAACACAAGGTGCAAAAATGTAAAGAAATAACCATAGCGGGAAAGGAAAAGTTGACTATTTCATTGATACTCAAATTTCACAAGCAGGCCAACAATATAATATCATGTCTCTCCCTTTGCTTTCAGTCCTACACTAATTTATTGTGTGCTCTATTTTACTACATTTACTTAGCACATCCAAAAATCTGTTTAAATTCTTCAGCCTTAATCTGTCATTAAATTTAGGATTTACTCAATTTAAGTAGTCTGAAACAGCTACTGGTAGTGTTGTAGAACATTTCAAACCACAAGTTCATGGAGCTCCGTGGAAAACTAAAACAAATGACTGAGTCCCAGGTCCATAAAAGTCTGAGGTGCAGTTTGGGTGATTTAGGTTAAAAAAAAACAAACCTCAAAAGTATTCCCTAACCATTTGGATGTCTGAAAGTTGTAAGAGCTACACCTCAGAAGGGTCTTAAAAGTGCCTGACTGAGACTGTTCCAGCTAGGCTGAAAGCTTTTCCTTGACATAATAGCCTACAGGTCAACAAGCTAGCCTGGGAAGTGAGTAGAATTCAGTGACTGTGTACAAGGTTACTGAAGCCTACAGTCCTCATGTCCCAGCAGGTTAGACTTTGGTCATGGAGAGAACTCTCTAGCCCATGTATAGAAAGTGCATGGTTTAGAAAATAGATCAAATAGTAGGCTACGAAATCTGAAATTTAACCCAGGTGACAATGCTTTCCTGGGAATTGGGTGTCCCCAGTCTCATCGGACTGATTTGGAGAGCAGCAGATTTGAATTGTCATAGGGCAAGGGTGTCTCCTTGTTCTGGCAAGCCTAGCCACTCAGTTCTTAATGCAAAAACTGACCCATCAGCAGTGATGTTAGAAACAGGAGGGGGCACTGAAGTACAGAAAGTAGCTTTGGGCTCCAGCTGCTTGCCTTGTTTAGACACATCACACAAGGGTTGTATTTAAATTCCCTAGGTGGAATTTCACCCCTATCTTTCTTACTGGTCATTTGAGATGCCTGCCCCTTACCCTCCCATTCCACATCACAAAGCAGTTTGCCTGGCTCAGGTGTGGGTATTTCCATCCAGCTCCACCACAGCTGAGGCTCTTTGTGGACCTCAGTCCAAACCTCACAATATCTCAGTCCTGGGAAATCACAAAGTAATGGGAAGCATTACCCTTCAGAAGAGTAAAAGCATTGAACAGAACCAGCAAAGTGCTCTGCAGGTGAAGTGGGGTGTGCTGCTTATTTGTTAATAAGGTATGTATGTTGTTCACCATGACCACGAGTTTTTTCCTTTCCAGGTGGTGTTCACTGCTAACGATTCCGGTCACCGCCACTACACCATCGCTGCTCTCCTCAGCCCTTTCTCCTACTCAACCACTGCTGTTGTCACTGATCCCCAGGAATAAACATGTACTTTTCACACTTTCCTCCACTAGAACTATCATAGGCTTTTAGGAGGAAGGCTTTTCCTACTGCTAAAGCATAACTTTTTGCCATATTAGGTTTTTTTTTTCCATTTTGTAACCTGGAAAACTTCAGACAAGTCAATAAAATATTACTTCTTTAAACAGTTAGTGAAATTTTACTGTTTTCTAGAGTATTATGATTTGCATTGAAGTGCAAAGGACATCTGAAAAACACACATGGGATGACACTTGATTTAGTTTTGTCATCTTCTTCCACTACCTTAAAGAAGTCTCACCAAATATATTGGCTCAAAACAGGAAATTCATGTAGTTGCACTACCTTAAAAAATTATCAAATAAATGTACTCAAAATAAGAAAGTCATCTGTGCCACTCCAAGTTAACACATAGAAAATATGGTCCCACTATCAACCAGGTCACAGGATGAATAGGTGAAATTCTAAATACCTAGCAGCAGAACAAACAATGCAGAAACCATTGAAATAAGTATGTCCAAAAAGCTGAAACAGTTATAATCTGTGTACCTTTTCTTAAAACTTCATGTAAACCTCAACACATTGATGTTTCAGGAGGAAAATTGGCTGCTCAATCAATCTAGGAAGTACTGAAGTAATTTCAATCAGCACTTTTTAAAGCATCTTTGATATTAAAGTAATTATTTGACATCACACAGCTGGCTACCCTATATAGGTGCATTCCAGTTAAATCTCTAATAAGTCAAATCTGTAGCCATCGTTAAAAAGAAGTCCAAAAAGAGAAGCATCATCTTAATATTCTCTTCATATTTTTAGAAATAGGAAAAAGTAAGCTATAGAGTGACTGTGATTCAAATAAAATTGCTGATAAACTGACTAAAGACTTTGAGGGCTTTAGCAGTGATTTCTGTAAACAGTGATTTCTGGTCTATTGCATTTAAAATATCCTGAAGCAGAGGAATTGGTTTTTAACTGGATTACAAAAATTACAGAGAAAGAAACTGAAATCATGCCAGAAACCTTCAGTACTCATTTGCCACTGACCTTGGAGTTTATACCCAAAGCCTGCTGCGGTGACAGCATAGCAAATGAATTCAAAAGTTACAACAGCTCACCTTTAACGTTTCACTGGTTACTTTTTCACAGATTTCTAGACGCTACCATAGTTACACAATTCTTGTAAGCAGTGCAAACAGTTTCAAAACAGCACCCATCATAAAGTATGGAGATTTCATGGGATCCTGCTATTCCTGGAGCTTGAAAACCAGTAGGTTCATCTTGAAGTGTGCTATGCTAAGCCCTCAAAATAGGATATAAATTTGCTCATCTAGACATACTCAGCAAACAAAACAAAACAAACAGAAAAAACCTACTCTGCTTGTAGCCATTTGTCTGATGAGAGGATAAAACTAGTAAAAGAGTGTATGTACTTATGTTTGAGCAAAGATCAGAAAGATAAAATTTAATTTCAAGAAGCGACATTTCCCTGTATTGAACCAGATGCTTCTGGCAGGAGCTGACTGTCAGTTATGTGGGGAAAGACCTGAGCTTGTACTGAATATAAGGGCCAAGTGATACAACTTAAAATACTGTTTAAATGTGCTCCAGAAGTTGGCATGTAGGTATTTTGATGCATGCTGAAAACTAAAAGTATTTTCTTCCTGGGGAATGTGTAAGATAACAAAATAGCCCACAGATTATCCACCTCCCTTCTATTAGAGGTGGAGAGTTACACAGAGAGAAATCTCCTAATATATAAGCATGGGTAACTCAAACCAAGCCATAACCACAGAGAATTTCTCACTGCAGTTGCTGAGTTGACATAAAATTTGTCTCTCTCTCAGTTATATGAGGTCAATACAACATTATTCGTCAATAAAAAGAGAAAAATAGAATAGACATTTCTTTCAAGAAAATTGACACAGTAGTTGAACTAGGCAATGTTCACAATATTTCCTCAGATAAGGATAGAAAACACTTATTTTCGCAGACAAGCTTCATGTTTGTATGGGTTACTTATTTTCTCATTGTTTACTAAGTAAATAGTATGAATCTACGTGTTGAAAGTCATAGGGGTTTTCTGATAAGTAGCTTGGTTTCAGAGGCCTTGATATAAAAATCACAGCTCCCACCAGTTTCTTCTTGCTGACACAGACTTCCTAGTGGTAGGCAAAATGGCTTTTTATTCTGTATTTTTGGTTTTCTTAGCTGGCCTGGCACTTTGTTCTGAAGCTGCGCCACCGGTAAGTGTCTCAGGACTGAAGTCCTTCTACTGATGTAGTCCCAATTATTTTCCTTTATTATTTTTTAATTAGTGGAAGCAAAAAAAAATATATATATATGGAATATTCTATTTTTTATTATTACTTTGATCTTACATTATGTACTGACTGTAGTTCTTTACTGCTGCTCTTTTCTGGTCCTTCTTCTTCTCTAGTGATTAGTGAGAGGACTTTATGGGTAGGGAAGTAATGTTTGTCATTAGACACATTAGACACATTAGCAACAGCAACTACATTAAAAACAACGTAAGAAAGGAAAAAACTATTATATGCACTAGACAAAAAAACCTTGATCATTCATAACATAATGAACAATCTGTGTCATGAGGAATTTTATCTCCTGTTGCAAAATCCGTGCTGGAGAAAGGCCTTCTCTAGACTTCTGCCTTACTGCTCTAACCACTACAGCTTAATGTAAGTAAACAATAAAGCTCAAGTCAGGATTCTTCTTCCTGAGGGCTCATTTATCACAGGAAAGCAAGCTAAAGACTCAGATGCTTCAGCTTGAAATTCTCCTACAACAGCCTTGTCTCTCTGATGCCTGGAGAGGCTATCTAGAACAGAGGCGAGACAGTGTTAAAGTAATAAAGTAGATGTTTATTAAAAGGCTTTTATTTTTTTATTTTACATATTCAAAGGATACACCTTGGGCAGTACAAGAGCCTGGCTGTGGCTACATCCAAGAAGGATGATGAGTCACACATTTTCACACTTTTATAAGTTTTGGTCCATTTACATTTTGGGATTAATTGTCCAATTACAGCTTCAGGTTATGAAGTCCCGTCCTCCCAGATTGCTCTTGTCAATTTGCTGTTGTTTACACTTTTTGGGCCTGAAGCTGCAATGGTGTCCTTGGATCTCAGGCTGGAAGAGGACTGTTTTGTCTAACTAAACTATGAAGAGAACCTCCTAACACTTTGTATGAAGTTCAGACTCACACACCAATGCAATACAGAATTCGAAAAATACAAAAGCTAAAACTTAAAGCATTATCTCTCTCCTGAACCACTCATTTTTCCTCTCAACTCTGATCTTTGGGAAAATAATACCTGACTAACATTGTTGAGGAATTAGACTTTCATTGATCTCCCAGGGTGCAAAAGTCAGGAAAATAATCAGCAGCAACAGTGCAGCCCTTCTTGCCATGGCCTCATGAGTAACACCAGTGAGGAGCCCCTGCATTCCAGAATGGGAGCATGAGGAATCTGGGCATATTGGCAATATAGACACATGCTGATACATTGGTATGATACTAGACAGGGTTCCTGGAACATCCCAGATTGTAAGAGGGCATGAAAGAGAGGGCTCTTAATTTTTAACCATCTACATCACAATTTATTTCACAATGATTAAATGGATATCAGTGACTGCTATTTTGAGACCATCCCTGATTAGCACGTTCTTCAAAGCTCTATTTTCTCACTCTTCATCTGCAGAATTAGGTAAGGTCAAAAGCCCTGATTCAACTCTATTTTTGAAAAGGTAAAACATCAGGCCATAATCACCACTTGTGATGAATATGTTGGGATTGAACTATAGCCATCCTGTATTTGAAGGAAGGTTTTCCTTTCCTGTCCTTGTGTAGCTGCCAGAGTTGAAAATTTTGATTTAATATGCTCTTAGGAGAGAGTCTGTATGTGGCGCTTATCACGTTTAGAGCAGAACTGTAACTCTGTGGCAACAAGGTATCAGAGGCTCTCAAAACCAGAAAGCTGTGCTCAAACTGCCGGTCCAAAATACAGGGGAAGAGTTAGCAGATTTTTAAACATTCCTACTACCTTTGAGGATGCAATTATTTCCTGTTTAGGCCACAATTTAGTTACAACTTCATGCTGGAGATGATGTGTAGCTAAGCCACGTCAAAGAAAAAATAGAAATGTGTTCTCACAGCTGCTGTGCCTCCCTGGTGTACATGGCCAACAGCGCCTGAAATCTTCCTTCCTGGCGCCACCATATCCAGCCTCCAGAAAGCCTCAGATTACGTTTCCACAGTACAAAGCAATCTTCTGGAAAATATGGTCTCTACTGTGGATCTGAAGAATAATGTTCCTTACTGCTTTATGATGCACCATCACTTACCCTTCTTGCAACATAAAAATCCTCTCTTCCTGTTGCAGAACCCTCTTGATGCCAAGCATCCTCTTTTTGTAAAAGTTGTGGATTCAGTCCGAGGAAGTCCAGCTACAAATGTTCCAGTTAAATTATATAAAGAATCTGCAGATGGATCTTGGGAACTCTTAAGTTCAAAGTAAGTCACACTAAAATAATGAGTGGAAGATAGGAAAGGCAGTGGGAAGAAGCCAAATAGTTGAAAGACCAGTTCCATATTCTCTAAAGTGAGATGTCTGTTTTGTTCTGGGGAAAAATAACATACCATTGAATTAACTTGCTGCAGACTGTCTTTTAGATGCACTACAGTTTCAACTGCCAAAATGGTTTTATAATGTTTTATAATTCCTATGAACACAAGGAAGTATTTTAGGCTATCCTTTAATTCAGCCATCACTTTTCTTTAGTTTCGTTGCAAAGGTCTATATTACCTTTAAGTACCTGGCAATGAACTGCTGCATTGTTACCAGAAGAATCAGACAGACTTACATTTTGAAACCAAGACTCTGGTTGAGAATCCTACCTTTATTGGCCATTTTCCGTCTTTCTAAATGGATTTTCATTTCTTACAAGACCACAGTTTTAAAGAGAAACAGTTTTGAACATACAACACATCATATTTGATAGCCTCCTCTACTTCAAGGTAAAGGACTTAGCCGAAAGGAGAAATCTGGGGATAAATCTTTCTCACCTTCTCCCCCACAGAGAAGCAATCACACTTGAAATAACAAAAAAGAATCTCCAGATATATAAATATTACCATGTCTATTTAAAAACATAATTGTAGAATTTGAAATGCAGATTACTTTTTAAATTGCCCTCTATTTTAGTATGTATTAACACCAAAAAATAAAAAGCAATTTTTGCTTATACTCTGAAATTAAATTGGAGAACTTCTTAGGGGATACATAGAATGAGCATTTTTTATTCACCAAGCAATATTCCACTTCCACACTAAGCTCCTCATGATAGATGCAAAGTCTCACCTGAGATCTTTCCAGGTATGTTAACAGTCTATTCCACCTTAAAAAAAATTAGTGAGAAAGGGCTCTCAAGGGCTAAAGCTGGCATAGCCCCTGAACTTCAACCGTGGAATCCCAGACTCAGATGCATTTCTAGAAATTCCAGTAGAAACTGTTTATATGGCTCTTTGGCGGAGCTGTGGGCTGGCACAAGCAACACAGCCCTCACGTGTCCTTGAAAAACAGAGGTACAGTGAAGGGCACACATACTCGTACAATATGGGGAAAACAATCTATTCGTGTCATCCTACTTAAATTGCCTCACACCCTCAAGTGGGGAGACAATTTCATACATATTCTATCACTGTAAATAAGTGAAATTTTCCAATAAGTGTTCAGTTCACATACCTTCATTTCTGAGCTTAGAGACTCTATATAAAGATACTCAAAACAGCTGAATGTTAACTGAAGTCTTAAAAACACATTTAACATTTGAAACAAGGAGCAAAGTAACCTCAAGGCAAGAAAAGTCATGCTAATACTAAATCAACTTCTCTCGCTTTGATAATTTGTAAATAATTGAATGCTAGCAAGAGGTACTGTAACAGATGTTCTCAATCAAAGATGCATTTGGTATTATCTGAAAAAGCTTATTAGAGAAGTGGCCAGTTATCTAGCAATGATCAATCTATGACAAAGAAAAGAAGAGGAAATTGAATGGATATAAAACTTCTGATAACTGACTATAGAGCATCTTGTCAGACATAAATGATATTCTATACTTTATTTTCTAAGCTACATGAAAAAACAAATCCAAGTAATGCACTGCACAATGACATTATTTTTCTCTGCATGCAATTTGAATAAAATATGTTCAGAAAAAGATTGGCAGCTAGAACACAAGACACTGGTCTTTAGATACCAAAATCTAAAGATATCAAAATCTGGCAGCTCTGTTATTTATTACCTAACTAAAAAAAAAAAAAAAAACAAAAAAACCCTAGTATTATAAAACTTACTTCACAGAAAGATGTTTCAAACAAGGGACATGTCTGAGAGACGGCATTTAATGTTGCTTCCAGACCCATTCTAAATGGGTTGGTGTTCAAAGATGTATGGTTTCAAACCAGTACTGGGGCTTTAGATAACACTGATGGTATCTTCAAATCAAACAAAACCACCTGTTTGTTGAAGCCAATACAAACCACAAGGAATTCCATGAGGCTACACTGCTAGCTGACGTATGGTCATTTCAAATAGCAGATCTCAAATTTCTAATAGCAGACTGTAAACAATATTTACACTGATAAAACAACTCAATACATTTAAATAAGAAAGAAAAAAAACATGGAAAAATCAGGATACTACTTAGCTACACAGTGAGTGCATCATAGAGCTTCCATGTTGCTTACAGCAGTGGTGAAGTTTTCCCTCTGAGTGGGTTCATTTAATTACCTCCAAGACTCTGCCAGGAGTCTGTGAACAATAATGCCAGTTTTTGGCTCACTCCCAAATAAACCATGCAGTTAGTGAGATGGCAGGAAGCCATCTGCTGTGGTCACTGTGGAAGCAGCAAATGCCAAGATAAGCTCTGAGGCATCCATAATACAGATGGACGTAAGCCATTCCAGATCAATAGAAATATTCATCCTATTACTTAAGCCACACATCACTCAAGTTCAATTGCTAAAATCTGCATCTTTCTCAGGCTTTTAACCAAACTATAACAGTGTGTTCTTCTACCGTTACACAGACAAACCAATGAAAAAGGTGGCCTCCCAGAGCTTACAACTAAAGAACAATTTGTAGCAGGGTTATATAAGCTTGAGCTTGATACAGCCTCTTACTGGAAGAGTCTGGGTTTGAATCCCTTCCACCACCATGCTGATGTGAGTATTCCTTTTTTTTCCTCTACTTCAGTTGCAAAGAATTAAGATAGTTAATATGTGTGGACTACAGTTACTAACTGCATATGCAGAACTTTATTTTATCTTTAAAATATTTTCACATTAATACTATAAATCCACACTCTCAAGGCTTTGTACCAACAGAATCATGACAGAACCTAGTTACTAGCTCCCCCAAAGCTCCTAAATGTGCTATTTATGGAGAGATTTTCCATCCTTCTACCTCTACTTAAGACCATGATTGTTTTTGTGATTATTCTAACTGTTTGAGGGACAACAATTGGAGTACTCTGTGAAGTCCCCTGGGAAAAGTATGTATCTGCCTTTCACAGACAATATTTCTATGGCAACAGACAGAGTTCATACATGCCTCTTTAATTTGCATGGGACAAATAAATTGGGTAGAGGAAAGTGTTCCAAACCAGCTACCAAGTGAAGCCTGCTGAAGGGTTTGGTATTCCTTGGGGACTGTCTCCTTCCCCTCAAGAGCATTAGTGCTTTCCTATGACCTTTCTGTAGCAGCAGTTCTATATCAGTTGCTTGTTGGACTCTGAAAGATCTGCTCAGCTGTTCCTTATCTCCATAGAGAAAAGGTAGCAAACACCTGGATTAAATTTTCTGTCTTCCTGAAAAAATGAAAGATGACATTCTTATACTAGGCAATAATGGTTAATACTGGATAGCCTTGCCTTCTGTAGGAACTGAAATTAAAAAGGGAAGATGAAAGATTTACAGCATGCAAGTAAATTGATGGTATATCAAGATAATGGTTGACTGGAAATTAATTTAATCTACAGTGCAGTAGCCTCCTTCTTACAAATAAGCCTCGGTAGGGACACATTTTGCTCAGTTCAGTGGTTGTTTCATGAATCTTTTTTATTAATATTGAAAGGAGCACAAGCTGTGCATCACAGAATACTATTAAACTATTTTAAAAGCTGACACCTCTCATCTCACAGCACAAAATAATGTATTACGTGGAGTGAGAAATCAAAGGACAGGATGTGCTGGTCAGGGAGTTGCTAATAGGGCTGTGGTAAATCATTCATATGTAAGGTTATTATCATGCCCTGGCCAAGTAACTAATGCAGTCCTTCTCTAACTACTAGATTTTGAAGTAGAACGAAAGAAACTCATTGTTTTATACTCTGGCCTAATGATAGCTAGTATTGCACTGTTTAATTCTGTTCCATGAAGTACAGAACATGGTAAGAGAAACAAAAGCATTCTAACACTTGAAAGAATGGGCAAATGGGCTATTTTTTTAATTATTATTATTTTTTTACTAAAGAAAAACAATGAGGTTCATAGTAGACCTTCATAAGGGAGCAATAAGGAAACGAAAAAAGTCTTGTTGTTATTTATACAATGATCACAATGGTTCCATCTAGGCTTTTATTTACAGATCACTTCTCATTTTGTCTCATATTTGTTTTTTCTTTTTCCAGGTGGTGTTCGCAGCTAATGATGCTGGTAATCGGCATTACAAGATCGTTGTTGTCCTTAGTCCCTTCTCTTATTCAACTACAGCAGTAGTTAGTGAGCCAGTGGAATAGAAGCTGACATTAAATGTGAAAATTCAGTTGTGTAAATTAAAATTTCCATAAATGATAAGAATTTAGCATCTGAATGTATTAACAGCTTTAGATTTCATAGTAAATCACTAACAGTAAGTTTTTTATTCACTTCATTAACTTTAGGAAGAAAGTGTATTGACTTTGTTTTCAAATACTCCTGAATAAAAGTATTCTGGCATTTCTGTATTATCAACATTACCCTTCTGAGTAAAAGTTTAGGATTTGAAAAAAACACATTAACCTCAGGAAAAATGTATTAAAATTCCATTATGGAGACTCTGAGAATAAACCAAAGTTTATTCCGTGAAGTTGATAAACTAAATTTCTTCTTGCAAAGGAATTGAACAAAACACGTCTGTAAAAGGTGTCTTGTGAAAAGTAAGCAGACAGAAAATACAATCCACTACTACCATCTCCTATGTTTTATTAATGAAGCTCACAACAGATGAAGTCTCATGGGATTACTTACTCAGGGCCCCACATAATTATCAGATAAACTCACCTCTCAAGTTGGATTTTGGAGACATAGAAGTGAAAGCAGGTAAAGGTGACAGAATCGTAAAACAGCATTTAAAGATGCTAAGCAGGCTACACATATTTAATACACCTTCTTTCCTGTTTTCCAATATATCATAACTGGTGACACTTTCAAGGACAGATCAGAAGCCTGTGTTTCAGAAAAGTACATTGCTCAAATATACCTAAAGAAGCTTATTCATGTATTTGCAGAAAACTCTGCAATTATTTTCCCCAGTTAAAGTACTCCCCAGAATTACTTGTGTACCTCAAACCATCAGACACTTTTGTAATAGCTGTAAAATGCAAATAAAAATAAGGATAACTGATGAATCCTGAGAAAATCAGTTTCCTATTTAATGCCAGGAGAAATATGGATGAATCCTTCCATTCCCATTCTAGTAATCCCTAGATAGGGAAGAACCATTAGGAGATTCAACAGAATAGCAACCCTGTCTTGGAAAAGTATGCAAGGTTGAGTCACTTAGCCTAGTAAAACCAAAAGCTGAAAGCCTATAAATACAAAGAAAGGGAAAACATCCTGCTAGCCTAAGCAGCCTAAGCCTTGATCCCATCACAGCCTAACCTGATTTATTTGGACAGGTGTGTCCTTTCTTTTTGCTGTCACTTTGGGGTACTGAGCATTAGAAAAGTGAGCATTTTGTCTAAAAACAAAACACAGAGATGATATCTTTTCCACAGAATCTCAGAATAAACAAACCAACACAATCTTTAGAACATTATATTTCATAAAAGACAATGATAAAAAAGTACAAACATTTTCATGAACAACAAAAAAACGCAAAACTATGATAGTACACAGGAAATTCCCAGCATTTGTTTCAGTGCATTTTTTTCATTAAGCCTATCTTACATACCTCTACAAATAAAATAATCTTAAGTACACTTCTGCTTGCTGATATGCAATGGATCCTTTTAATTTTTTTTAATAGCTGGCTCATTAGTAACCCACTACAACAATTAGTAAACATAACGATAGAAAAATAGAGTGGCAAGATCCAAGGACATTTTGCACTTGCTTTTCAATACACTGCCTATTTGCAAAATGGACTTTATATATTCTCCTACTTAAATTTGAAATATAGAAAATGGGCTTGAGGGTATCTTAGCATATTAACCAGATTCTACTCTTAATATTTCTGTAATGTTTTCACTTGCTATTTTGTAAGACCTTCAGAATCTTGTAAAATACTCCCTTCTTCTTCTCCCTCCATGTCACTTCTTGAAGACATCCCTTATTTGCCTCGTCAGCAATGCAAAAGCTGATGTGACTGGCTTCTCTCTACATTTTACAAGAACCATGAAATTACCAAAAGGAATGTGCACAACACTTAGTTCTGCATCATATTTATTTTGTTTGAAGGCACTGTCTATGTTAAAATTCACTACAGAAAGTACTGAGTTCAAGCAGGTAGTATACAAACACTATTTTGATGTAATTTAAGATGGCAACTTCTAAAACTTCCCAACAAAATGATAAAAGGTATTTAGAGAAGAGTGTTGGTCAACAATTCATAATTTAACATCCATCATTTTGGGGCACAAAAATGTAAACATTTTAAGAACTCAGCTATATGTCACAATCCATTCACATACTGGTTTAAATCACATTTTTCTAGGACCATACATGATCAATCACTTAAAGCTGTAAAGTTATATTAGTTCAGCCACAGCATATGTGTAATATAGTATGTATATATGTAAGTATATATACATATATATGCATTAGATTTTCTTTTTTAATTGCACATAAATTTCACAGAATGCCTAAGAAATGGGCACAAAAGCATGCTGGAGAAAACAGTACAGACCTACGGTACCAAAGGATGTTTCATAATCATATGTGTGAAATTGTAGGTGAACCTGTACTGAAAACCAGAAATTACTTCAAAATTACATGAGGGATTTAAAAATTTATTCAATTGTTCTTAAAGGACTGTAATAGTCCACTATGAAATAAGACTAATTTTATTTTGAAGATATAATTGTTCATACTGTGTATTATCTCTGCTTTCTACATATGCTTCAGAATGTTCTATACACCCACTCATAGAAAAATCTATCAAGAGGTGAGCAAAACACTTAAGCATGCTTTTGAAGGATGTTTTCATCACTTTATGCTTCTAGTTTTTTTCATTGTATTACATCATTCCTAAAGCATATTAGATTAACTTTTAGATATTAAGGTAATTCCAGTATGGCATAAACTATCCCTTACAATTGTTCTCAACTACTAAATTAAATAATAATATTTCTACTAAATATTTGGGATGCCTACAGCTAAGCTCATAACGTTACTGAAGGATGGCTAAGGGCAAAATTTGCTGCTGGGATGCCAAAGAAATAAAAGGTATTTATGGCAAACGAACTTAAAACATACAAAGCACCACACCATCTGAGGCAGCAATTCAGGAAACCAACATATAATAATGACTCAAAGTTAAGACTTTTGTCAACACTCTTACAGAACACTCTATGGATAAACAATCCTTATTATATATACTGCTTTCCATTCTTTATGGGAGCAGAAGTCAGTCTTTGGTTCCTAAAGAGTTGAGTAACTGACAAAGAAAACAGTTTAGTATATCTTGGTCACTATATTTGCATTAACATAGAAAATAAATGACCTGGTCCTTTTCCTTTGTATTAACAAGCGATGTAAAAAAATATAAGGAAAGATAATAATGCTTAGCAGTGGGATACTTCTAGGTAGCATAACATTACAAGCAAAGAGAAAATAAGAAGATAAGAGGCTAGTCACTCATACATTTAACACCACAAAAATAGAGAAACAGGACCAATCCTTAGAGGGATTCTGCAACCTCAATCTCATTGACAGTCATCGACTTGAGGTTCCTCAGTGCATCATAGAAGCACTCAGCACTCTACTAGAATAGGCCCTTAAAAAGCTCTATTGAATAATATATTATGAGTGGAATTTTAAAAAGCCCTTGGGATTGGCCTGCTTCCTGTTCTGCTTATGTCATCACCATCCTCATCAGCAGAACAGTGCAACCAACACCGTGCTTCTGAAAAGCCCACACTGCAAGCATTTGAACTATTAGAACTATGTTTTATTATTCTCTTAAAAATCTAACTGTAATACTCTTCCAATGAAGACACATTTTTGGCTCTTCTGATTTTGGAGGAATAAAAGTGCTGTTTACTAGAATTAAAAAAAAAAAAATTTTAAAAAGAAAAAAAAAAGAACAATACCAAAATACTGTACGCACCCAGACACATCATTTTAGGCATTAATTTCCCTGACATTGACACTAGTGGCACACTTGGAAACAGTTAAGAGTTTCTGTAGATCATAATATGCAACAACTGCAAGATTTTCTGTAATACACATGCAATATGCATATAAATACGATTCAGATGGCAGGCAGGGTATCATACAATTTTGCTGGCAATAAATAAAATTAAAAGCTTTCTTTCTAGCAGGTTCATATAAGAAATTGACTTTTCTATATAGATATGCAGGAGGCCTAGAGCTCAAAACTAGTATAACAGTTTACAGTCATAGCTGGCCAACAATTAATATTTCCTTCATTTCACATAAGGTATAACCTTTTTATAAGCATACTTACATTTTACACTTGCTCTTTCATGCTAATAAAAACATTCCTATAGAATTCAAATGAGAACACACTCAAATACATACTGAAGCATAAAATATTGAACAATTGAAAAGCAATGTACACACATTAATTTACATCACATATTTACAAAACACATTTTAAAAAGAAACAAAAGCATTCATTTAAATATGAGGAGGGGCAGTTTAGTATAAAAAATTTCTGGAAGAGGCCTCTATCCTTACTTCCAGAGAAGCTACAAGTCTGTTTTCTGCAGTTCATTTAGTTGAGTAGTTAAGATAGTGTGAAGAATGAAGGCTTGAACAGTAGTCTCATGCTGTAAACATCTGAGTGGTAGCTGCTGGCTTTTCTTTCAGAACAAAATGCATGGTACATACAATCACTTCTCATCCCAAATATGCATCATCAGTTGGTCAAAAAAACTCTATTTCTAAGCTGCTGTTTGTTGGTTTTGTTTTGTTTTACAGTGTTTATCAGTAGCTTCCAGTGTTAAAAGTTTATTCTGGTAGGATATCTTGCCATTCCACTTCCATCAATAGTCTCTAACAGGAGCAAGTTCTGGTATGAGATTAACAGTTATATTTTTATACAACCTACTGACAAGTATTTTAGGAGTATATACTAAATTGTTCAACCCATCAATATACTGACGTTCTCTGGAGTACCTCAGAAGTTTGTATCTGCAGAAGGAGTTGGAAGAAGAAAAATGAGAAAGATTTGCAACAATTCAGTTGATGTTAGACATTTATTGTGACAGTCATTTAATTTTGAAGCATACCTTCAATTCTGAAACTACTTTTCAGTCCATTGAAATTACCAAATAACCTACCTTAGGTTTAAAAGCAAGCTTTTAAAGATTTTTAATGCAGTTAGATTTTATGGTCACATAAACAAGTTAAAATTAAGACCAAATAAAAATGGAGGTATTCAATACGTAAACTTTTTTATGGTCCCAAATGAAATAGATTTTTAAAGATTATTCAAATTCTTCATGTTCTTTTGCTATGAAATTCAACTAAGGAGTTCAGGGAAGATTTAGGAATCTTCACCATTCTTCATTATACATTTAAATGTCTGAAATTTTCATTTCACTTTTGAGACTCCTGCATTTGCAAACATCTAAATTTGAGTTGATTAAATAAAAAGTTCCCCTCCCCAGACTACCCACTTTAGTTTCTATAACAGATTTACTCATCTCTGTTGCACATGTCTATAATTTTATTCATGATTTAAAATTATCAATAAAAGAGAAAAAATACGTTCCCAGAAAAAGACAACCATTATGACAGAATTGAGCAGTATTTCTAGTTACCTGAAAACACGTATCATAAACCCTTTATTTTGTGTTTCACCTTCTAAATTTTTTTATGTAGCTCATCTGCTGCATTCTGGTTTCTATTGCATTCCAGGGCAGCCAGAACCTACTGGCCAGTTTAAGTGTTTTCTATCTTTGTAGCAAAAGAAAGGAACCCCAAAAGAAAAGGTTTAAATCAATGTATGCAGGAAATGAGAAGACCTGTATTTCAGAAAAGAATGAAATATGAGGAAAGAAACCAATCTTTGAGGAGTTTTAAAGTCAGTTTTCATGCAGGAGCCCTTTGCCCCAGCTGCACTGCTTCCTTTTGCAAAATATCGAAAATAGCCAACTAATGGAGCCCTGCCAGCACTAATGCCCAAAATATTATGGAACAATTACATTATGGATCAAAGGTTATGATGATAATAACTTCTGACATGCAAATTTAGTCTCTCTCATGGTTAAATAAAAATATCTGAACAGCAAACATAATGTTTTAGAAAATATAAATTTCAGCACCAGAGAGGAAATAACACTGATAAGAACTGTCTGCTTATTCCTATGTGTGGATGCAAGACAAAGATTTTATATCTTTAGCTGTAGTATTTCAATATTTCTCTGTTTTTCTTACCGTCCTAAAAACTGGACTTCACCTCTGTGATGATGAGGAATGGATTTGTACTTCCCTAAATTGCCTTCTGGTCTTGTTACATTGTATCCAGCAAAATGAACCCTGCAGTATAACACATAAACATTTGTAAAAATATCTTACTACTAGTCATACAGGTTAAAGCAAAAGTGAAAAACACATATCAAATATTTTAAAGCTAAGTCTTTATGTTCACTGACATTCTCTTCCTAAAAAAAACCTACAACACTCCAAACCCAACAACTAAAAAAGTTGGCTAAACAAAGTGCAAAATAATAATAATAATAATTTAATACTTCCTGCTTGTGCCAGCACAAAAGCTTGAAAATAGCAAGAAAAGTATAAAAAACCTCTCCTCCTTTAAAAGATCTCTTTATACATAAACTCATGCAGACACTTTCAATAGCTCAGAACTGTTTAGACTCATTCACTGTGAGTAGTTGGTAATGCCATAAGCAGGGCTGTTTATTGTCCAGTCTGGAACTATCAATATACGCACAAATTAACCTTTCTGAAACACTGCCCCTAAGATATGAAACTCATTCCTACACTATATGTCTGTGGAATAATATTTCATAATGCTAGCAGTAAGAGTGATGCTATATTGCTTAGTATGGTTACCTGTTGTTATATCTGTTGTTATAAGACCCAGCTCTTAAAAACTTGCTACTTGTCCCCAGGCCAATAAAAAAAGAATATCATAATTATCCCTTCAAATGGTATGTTCTTATATTTCTGAAGCAAACTATGTAGAATATGTCCATTTAAAACAAATAACAAAAAGGTAACAAGTGACAGAACAAAAAAGCACCTGATTGGTCTCAAAGGGTGGATGGTACAGAAAGACCTAAGCACTCAAAGCTCACCTGTTCCAAAGATCATCATCTTCTCCACCCCATCCCCAAAAGGCATTTGGAAAACCATTGATCTTCTTGAATTGTTCCACTGTCAGGCCACTTACACCACCGAAGAACTCATTGTATGGAAGGCTGGAAACAAAAGACAAATTCTCTATTGTTAGCTGAACTTTGATTAGCCCACTCTTTGAACAATACCTTTCCAAAAAAGCAAGAGCCCCAAACTAAGGACATGGTCAGAGACTGAATGTATTCATTAAGGGAAACTGGTTCACGATTGCCAGCATTAAGCAACATACACCAAGTTGAACAAAACTTGGTTTTAGTTGGAGTTTGTAGTAGTGTCTGATTTGCATAAAAGGTGCTCTCAAACTGCAGCTCCAACTAGGATCACATTTATGAAACAAAAGTCTACCAGGTATTTCAGATGGCTGATTTAGACCCATAGCTGAAGGGTTAAGTGAAGCCCTCAAACTACTTATGTTGACACTATTCAACTGAAAAAACCCTCTTTAATCAACCGAAAAATTACAAATCAGTAATGCATCAATTAAATAATTTTTATTCATTATTATATCCCACAGAACTGTTAAAATTTGAGAGAAACAGTTTAACAGTACATATTAAACAGTGAATTGCCTGCTGTTTAACACAAAAATATCTTTTATTTTAAAAGATAAACTTTTGAATCAAAAGGATCTACAAGCTTCCCTGTCAGTAAACAACAGTATTTAGCAACACATATAATTAAGCAATAAGCAGTTGTCCAACATGAACAGCCTATCCATATAACATACTATTCCCCAATCAATGTGATCTCCAGTCCTTCAAACACTCTGGCAATCTAAAAATAAATTAAAACATTTAAGTATCTATATTTACTTCCATCAATATTAACTTGCATCCTTAACCCAGAAGCTGCTACAGTGAAGTAGCTTTCTTTCAGAAGGAGCATATAATTTCATAAAACAAAAGTCTCTCAGGAGACACTTCCAAATCTGCAACCTTCAAGGAGTGAAGGCCATCTACAAAAAGTTTTACCATCACTCAGGACACAATTGCCACACTGGATAACTCCAGAATGCAAGGGAAAAGAAAATATAAATACACAATCACGTAATTTCTGATCTCTGTGGAAACACAGGATTCAACAAAATCTTATAGCACGTATATTTGCCTTTCAACATTTAACTGAAAGAGCAGGTGTTTTAACCCCCTTCCTCCCTCAAAAAAACCCACATATATACCTCAAAAATAACCAACAGAAACCCATTGCCAACTCAAAAACAATTGGAATATGACAGTTAATGGGACTTCGTGAGGTTTATTTTTTTTTAATTTTATAAATCTAGTTTTATTTATACAAAATTTATCAATTTTGTAAATACTTACCTATTTAGACATTATATAAATGCATGAAGTGTTTTATAAGTACATACATAGATGAAATCTCTTACATGGTCATAGGTGCTAACTTATTAATTTTTAAATACATATGAAATCTTTAAACATTTAACTGTTGAGTGGTTGACAACCTGAAGTCCAGGCACAGAGCCATGGTTTCAAGGCATTGCTTTTCATCTGTTAGTTGATCACGTTGTCAAGTTGAATAATTTCACAAATAAAGTTCAGAATAGCAAATACACACATGTAGCAAGTAATAAACTACAGTTTTTGAAGTGATTCCAAGAATGTCATGAGATAGCAGAGGGTTAAGAAGAAAATGATACATCATTAATGTAAACTGACAGAAGAGAAAGAGGTAAGAAAACTGCAGGTCCCACTACATTCACCACATGTCAGCAGAGACTGAGAGACAATATCCAAAAGAGACTAGCAGTAAGAAAATCTTCAGTTTAAATAGCAGTATGAAACAGAAATAAAAGTGTACATTTATGAGAAAACAAAGACACTTTTCCTGTGATATTTTGCTGCAGATTATCTGCTTTTCTTTTATAACAGCCAGCACAAGTGTTCATGTAGCCAGAAAACATTTCTAATGTTAGGTAAGATTTTCCCCCTTGACATACAAAGTCTTTTTTTTTTTTTTTTTGAGATCAGCCTCACTGCAATACGCTCAACACTGAAAATCATAAATTATATCTTCTAATTAGTAACACATCAAATGTAGACACTAAATTAAAATATTTCTTTCAGTAACTAAATATTCATTTCTGTAACTAGCATAGTAGGAGGCTCCTTTATTGTTTTCATCTACTGTATATAGTGTCACAAAATTCATACACTTTTAAATATGTCTGGGTATTTAAGGAACAATATGAATAAAACTATTTACTTACATGTACATGTACTTGTCCAGCTTTGCTGCAAAATGGCGTGGCATTTCTCCACATCCATAGTAATTTCTGTCATTTTCAGGTAAGTGATCCACATCATGGAATATTATGCAGTCCCAGACAGCATCCTTCATAGCCTCTTTGAAGCCAACATTAAAGAGCATTGCACGATTAAAAGGTTGTGTACCTGTCTTCACACAGAAAACAAAGGAGACATTGTAAAAATCAAGAAGAGACAAAAATTTCAATACTATGAGGAAAACTTACTCTAACACACACACACAAAAACCAAAATTGACAATGATACCTCTTTTGAGTGGCAGCTCATGCTGGGTTGGCTGCACCCCAGGATGGGGTTTGCCCTCCTGGCTGCCAGGGCACACATTGCTGACTCCTGTGAGCCAGGAGTGAGCCTGGCTCCTGCTGCCAAACAGCACCCCCAGATCCCCTTGTGCAGGGCTGCTCTCCAGTCACTCCTCTCCCAGTTTACACTTGTGCCTGGCTTTACTCCATCCTAGGTGCAGAGTCCAACATTTTGACTTATTAAATCTCATCCCATTAATCACTGCCCAGTGCTCCAATTTATCTAGAACCCTCTGCAAGGCATCTCATCCAAACCATCAGAAACTTGCTGATGGTGCATTCGGCTCCTGCATCCACTGAACGTAAGACCCTGGAACTGAGCCCTAAGGAACACTGCTGCTGACCTATTTTTTTTGCCTTGAAAACTTGCAATTACAATAGATTCTAAGAGGCCATCTTATTACCTACAAAATATCAGCCTATATTTGAAGAAAAGCATCATGTATCTGGCCAGTGCTCAAGCTGAGGAATGGAAATAGAGCTTTTCTTTTTCATTTAAAGGAGTAGAAGAGTACAGTAACAATTTTTAAATTCTAGATTCATCCAAATCTTGGCAAGAATATCAAACTCCTTTCAGTAAGGAATCTTGAAAGTCATTTTTCAAGTAGATGCTGTTACCTGCTCAACAACATAGAAGGCAAATTCCAGCCGCTGCTTCTGCAACATAGGTATCAGATGGCGGAAAAAAATTGGAAGATGCTCATGACGATTCCGAAAAGGAATAAGGATAGCCACCTACAGAGGGGGAAAAAAAGCTATTATATCATTCTTTTTAAATTTTAATTTTTCAATACAGATCAAATTTCCTGTGGCTTTTCAACTTCTACATTTAAATTGGTTCAGTGTTTTATATGTTGGTTCCTCCTAGGAAAGTGTGGTGGAAATTTGGTCAGATAATTCAGAAAAAAATCTTGAGTAAAACATAAATAAGATTTTCCTTTTATGTTCACTTGCTTCTAGTTATACTTCAAGCAACAGACACATAGGACAGATTTGCATCCATATGATGAAATGTTTAGTAACTACAGCTAATGAACCTGTAAAAGTTCTTTATGATCCATTTCAAATTTTTCTCCTAGCTGAAGCCTCTTCTTGAGCATAGATAGCATACTACAAATACTATAAATACTACATATATAACACCAAAAGACTGAGTGCTTGCAATGGTAAATTATTCTTATATACCAACAAGAAAAAATAAACTAAAACAGAAAATCAGCAACTTACCTTCCACCGTGGCTTACAGTCATTTGGTTTCCAGTGTCCTCCTGGTTTAATGTCTAAATCTTTTGAAAAGAGTTGCTGAATTTCATCAAAACTAATTTCACTCATATTGACATCAATAAGGCCTCCTAAAGAGAGGAAAAACAAAAACCCTTATATATTAATTTCAATTAAGACAATTGACCTAACACTACAAGGAATATCATAGACAAATGGCATCAGAAACTTGTAGCTACACTACTTACAGAAAAAAAGAAACAACTTATTCTATCCTCCTAATCTTTAATTCTTACAGAATGAATTTTTACTGTTTCCAAAAACAAACATTCCTTCCATAAAACCCATTAAAAAAATTCATTTCACAGGATGCAGAACTAGAAAAGTAATTTGAATTCTACATCTCTTACAGAAAATTTGGGTTGCCTTTCACTTCAAGTACCACTGTTAATAATTCTACATTGCACTACTGAACCTTTACTCAAATCCTGTCTGCCTTCCTGCTCCACTTCCACATCAAAAGAAAATGCATCATCACTACACTCAACAAACTTCCTCAATTTAAATTTTAGATGATATGCGCATTTCATGTAGAGTCTTTGCCCACTAATTCACCACTATTTACTTCAAATAAATTCATAGCAATGGGCTGGATTTGAGAATTATCATTGGTAGAACTAACGACTCCAATGGGAAAAGTATTTGCAAAAGGCTTAAGAGTGAAATTTGGTAAGTTACTGGATAAAGACCAGAATATGATTTGAAAAAATTCAGGTTAGTACCTACTATGAGAAAATATAAACATGGGTTGACAGCTGAAAGTCGTGAGTCATTAGCTTATGCATGTGTAAAAAGTTCAAAACTGGAAAGAATGATTCATAGTAAATACCCTTAAAAGCAATAGAAAGAATCAAGGAAATGTGGGGAGAAGACTAATGTAACAGTCATTAACCAGAAGCTCAAGTTTTTCTGCAGCAACTACTTACACTCCAAATCATCAAATAAAAATCTTGCAAGAACTTTCTCACAAACATCATAAAATATTCTTATTTTCGTCTAGAAAGTTAAGTATTTTGGTGAGGGTTGGTTTAAAGTCAGTCAAAAAATCACTCCCATTTTTTCCCATGTATGCATATCCACAAGATCTTATTTGTACCAACTAGACTGTGTTACTGAATTGACTAGTTATCTAAATATTTTGAAAATATTCAAATTTTTTGGAACATAGGAATAACTATTGTTTTCAGAAGAAGGTAGAGGAACGTGCAAGAGCTATTTTAGTTTGGGATATGATTAAATACAGTACTACTCGCAAATGAAGAAGGTAACTATTTTTTTAATGCAAAATTATAAGTGAAAGTCATCAGTAACAGTACACTATGGAGCTATTTCAAGAGAAGAGTTAAAGAAACCTATATTTATTTAAATATTTTAGGAAAAAAGGAAACCTGGCAGTTCCAAAAAACTTGTATAGATAAACACTAGGAAAAGCTAGTTCTACAGAGATTTGAATAAAAATAATTATTTTAAAACAATCTTAGATTGTCATAATGGTTGTGTCTGAAACTCTTCAATAACCCAAAAAAGAAATCTTATGAAAGGTAGAATCAAGGTCAATGAACAAAGGACCACTATATATACACATTCAAAATAAATTTTAAAAAATAAAAACTTAAATTTAAAAAAATCAATTTCAACTACCAAGAGATAGAAAAGCAACAAGAATCTTTCAGTTTGAATACAGAAGCTAAAAGGAAAATAAAGCTAAATAAAGGTCAATTACTACCCCTGAAATGGAAGGAAATAACACATGATGAGATTCAGATACCTCTTCTGAGAAAAGTTCAGATGTGATCAGATGATTACAGAGTTTAAATTAGAAAAAAACATCAACTGGTAGAACGATATTTAGATAAAGCCTTTAGATAAAGGTGCTTCTAACTCTATGGGACATGATGAAATTCCATTCAGAGGTTTTAAAAAGTAGCTATAGTAAAACCTGAAGTATTGGTACTATCAAAAGTACACAAGAGACAAGTGAATAGAAATCAGCATTTTTTCCCTGTCACTGGTGGAGGGCAGGAGAAGGCATCTCTGTAAATAACTGTGCTTATTGTTCACTAGTTCCATCAGTGTCTAGCAGGCTGCAATAAAACATATTTATACAACCCACAAAATAAGAAAGCTCAGAAAGCAAAAAACATTTTGAAAAAAATCAGAAAAAAAAAAATTCAACAAACGAGATAGATACAGAAACCAATAAAGTAAAAATAATTCAAAATAATAAAGGATGGTTTGTTTCTGAAGGAAAAATGAAGCATGCACAACAAAACAAGCAATACCTGGCTATGTTGTAGGATGAAGAAAGACAGTTTTACAGTTTATAATGGATTGCACTTTAATATGAGCCAATGCAATGTAATTGTACAAAAAGAGAAAATCTCATCCTGAGATGTATTAACATAGTGAAAAAAAGAGAAGTTTTCCAAAACTAATTTGTTTTGTAACCAGGATTTAAGCCAGTTATGATGCTTTATGAAGAAATCAAATTAAGGACAGTCTACAATGCAAAAAATTCAAGAATGACAAGAGCTTTAGAAACTATGCAGTCTAGAAAGGTTGGGATTATCAGTTTATCTACAAAGGAAAAGATAGACAGATTGTACTGTTTCTATCTCAAAAAAGAGGTATTTTGCTTACAAATTACAACAGCATTGCTCTACCAGTGGGTTATAACCTGTTATATTGAGTCATACAAAAAAGGCAAACTCTGTTTCTATTTTAAGAGCATATGTACTTGGGACCAAATATGATTTTACCATGCCCCTTTCGTGATATAAATTTGGCAAGCTGATGCAAAGAAGAAAAATTGACTTCTATAATAACCTTAGATTAATTAAGCATGTTAGAGTATACACAATTCAACACTCTTTCTTCCCTGGTTATCTCTCACTTCCTACAACATTTCATTACATTAAAAGATCTTCAGAGGTGCTTTATTTAGATTATAATTAGAAAGACAGATGATTATTAAAATAGCATACATGGAAACCAAAAAGGGAAACACATATCCCTTAGCTGAAAAGCAACTTATCCAGTGAATTATTTTCTATTAAAATTATTATTTCTCTATGAAATTAAACAGGATAGAAGAAGTACAGAGCAATTACTAATAAAAAAAATCAAAAATAAAAAAGATGGTAAAAGGAGAGCAGCAACAAGGAGATCTATAGAGAAATTATTGGTAGAATTACTTAGTCTTGAACTAATCTGACAGAATTCCAACTGCCAGATCTCTTGAAAGTGCCATTAAAAAGAATAATTTATATGCATTTTTCAATCAACAAAACCATCACATATTATTTCTCTGATTATCCAGATGTGCCATTTGCTGAACTTTTTTATGTTTCCAAAAGTAGCTAAAATATTTAATATTTTAATAATTTGGTTTTGTTTGTTTAGATGTTCAATACTATATAAAAATGTGATTTTGAAAGTCAAACTCTATGTCTGGAGCAAAAGAGGTTGAAATAAAGATATTATCACACCATGGGACTAATTGCTACATGGCTTAAGACAGTTTTCTATATGATTTAGTTTCATATGCAACAGCAACTGATCTATACTTTTGGCTCCATGTCTGTATATTTAAAACATAAAACAAAGCTTAGAATCTGATATTATTGAAAAGAAACACAGGTCATATGGACTGTTTCTGTTTCCTTCAATAGATAAACTCAGTTGAGATTTTAAAAAAGTTAAAAAGGAATCAAGATTACCCTAACAACATCAACCCTTTTTCTCTGAAGAAAAATTGATCAGAATTCAGTTCAGCTGCCAGCAACACTTTTTGGTATGATACAGATCTGAACTACTATATTAGATATTTAATTAATTGCTCATGCTGAATGAGCCCATAGATTAAATCAGGTGTCTAAAAGACAAGAGGTTAGAATTCTGGAATGCATCACAAATAACTTCAGAAACTATGTGAAATTTTCTGTCTTACAAATCAGTAGTTCAATTATTCGATTTCAAATTAGTAAAGAGACCAAAAATTCAGTAAGACATTCATTTACAGGCAAACTTCTGCTAAGCATCATTGTGCATTATTAGATGTATTTTATTCATTACTTTCTGTAATATACTTAGACTCCTTACACTTATATTCTATATTAAAATAACTGTCTTTTGTTTAGAATACAATTTAATTTACTAGATAAACATTAAGGTCAGCTTGAAACTTACTCATGTAAGGCAGCTTCTCTGGACAAGGCTGGTAAGGAGAGTAGGTGAAGTTCTCTGGAAGATACATTGTTGTTTGAGCAACACAGTCACTAGAGTTGTTTCCTTCAGGATAATCTTAAAAAGAAGAATTGATTTTTGTGAAAACCTGTGTTACCCACTGAAATGGTAACATATCATGAAGGTGAGACCATTAATTTTTAGTTAGCAAATGCCTAGCAGCATGATTTAAAAAGCATTTTATTGCACCAAAGGAATTATAGTTAAACACAAGTATCTTTGTTACAGATAATACAAATATTTCCTACTAAAGTGAACTGATAAATAGTAACTATTTGATCTTGACTCCAATTTGGGTCTAAGTTTTCATGATTGAGCTATGTCATTGATGATTAGCTTTTTTTTTCCCCTCAAAAAAAAAAAAGGTCTTTTAAAAATTAAGTAAGAAATATTCTTACCTGTGCCATTCAGTGTAGTATTTTTGTTAGTGTACAATCTTATCATGTGTCCTATTGTTTTTACATTTTCTCTCAACATTATACCACGAGCTTGCACCATAAAGAGATATGTAGTTGCTGATAAAACAAAAAGCAATTTTGAATTTGTATTAAAATAATGTATTTCCAAATTATTCTAACATACATCTACAAGGCATTCAACATTTTTACTGTGTTTGAATCCATGGTCAGTGAACAATACTTCTTTGAGATGAAGCTCCACACAGTGAAACCTAACAGACAACAATAGAAAAGAATAAAATGGATTCATAATCATGGCTCTATTCAAACCCAAAAACTACAGATTGTCAACAGACATTTTATATGACACTTTAATTTCTCTTTAACTTACAACAGAAAGCTACAAGAAAAGAGAGTGACAAGAAAATTTAATTTACCAATAAAAACATTTTCGTATGTTGATACAAAAAATAGTTTTAGTCCCATATAATGGTCCCTTTTTTACTCACTAGCTAACACAACTTCCAATCAAAATGTATTATTATTCATTCACTCCAAATAGCTGTTTTGTTATACAACTCTTACAAATCTCTGCCAATCTCTAAGTATTAATGTTTTAAATTTATACATGAAATATTTATTATAGGCATCAAGGGTGAGTAAATCAACACTCTGAGTAATTAATTGACTCACTAACAACAACAGCATGAAATATTTCTCTGTCTTAATCTTGCACCTAAAGCTCCAAATATGATCTCAAGACATTTCTTTGTATTCAACAGAAGTTGGTAAGGTAGAAATGAAGCTGCATTTATATCTGAGTGAGCAAATGTCTACCCAGAACTCCGAGAGCTAAAAAAATATTGCAAAGGGAAGGACAAATTTCCCTTGCCGAAGGTAGCAAAGAGGGTCAAAGGGATCATCTGTCACTTCACCTACATTAAGCACCCATTTGTCGGGGGATATTTGGCTCCCTGTAACTAGTAACCACCCTAACAACAAAAAAATGCACTGCATCTTTGAGGAGAAGAACTAAACATACCAGGGATGAAAAAGAGAAAAAGAGATTAAAGAAAAGTTAGAAAATTATCTCAGGAATTCCGCCAGATGAGCCAGCACCAGTGGAATGACACAAGTAACTCCAGATCGACCAATAACTTCTTAGAGCCCAATGCAGAGAGGCTAGAGCTACAGAGGACTGTGTAAAAGGGACTGGGAGCATTTCCAGAGGAAAACACGGTGATTCATTCCACCACACTTGCAAACAATACTACCAACACCTACAAAGATAAAAACACCACCATAATCTTCCAAGGAATAGTATTTCAAAGCCCTACAATAACGTCTTTATTTTTAAATGACTGAATGAGGGGGTTGTCCTGGTTTTCAAAGAACTTCTTATTAAAACAAGAAATATTAACAGCTAAAAGAGAGGCTCTTAACATGCCAGGTGCCATGCATGGCATGGAATTCTGAAACCCTTGGTCAGCATGACTACTTGTGCTTGTTAAGAAGAGTTTACATAAATGTAAAAGTTACTTAGCTGCTACGATCCTGAAGTTGTCTCAACACCTTCTGGCCACCAAAATAGAAGCAAAAGAAAACAAAAAAGCTACAACCTTGGCCTGACAAGAGAAAAGAAAGATTCTTACCAGGATTCAAGACAACGGATATTCAGATTTCCTAACACAAACACTTCTCAAAATTCTAACCCAATTCACATAAAGTAATACACTATGGTTCCAATTATTTAATTCCATTTGTAGTTTTCCTTTCAAATATTGGGATTTTTAGAGTGTCTCTATTAAGAATTTCAAGGAATCTGTACAATTCATGAATTCATATATGAAGTTTCCTACTCAAGAAACTCCTACTTTAGGAATTAACATAAAGGCAATTTGATCTGTTCCTCCAAGAAAAATTATTTACCTTCAAACAAAAATTTCTAAATTCAAGGCTTTTCTGAAAGTAAAACCATGTGTATATCTGCCTTTAAAATAGGACAAAAAATTCCTAAATAATAAAAAAATTTCTTTCTTCAAACTTTAACATACTTTAAATTGGTATCCTCTCTCTCCTCAAATAATTTTTTTTTCTCCCATAGGTACAGCTCTTCTCTTCAATATCTTCCTATTCCAACACTAAAATAAAGTGGTTTTTTAATATCAATCCGTTAGTAAATACTGATTTCAGAGCTAACCTCAGGAAGACTTGTGTGCTTTATTCTCCTTTTTAATGTGATACCAAAAGCTAAAGTCATCTGAATTTTTAACTCTGAAGGTTTATAGGGCTTTCAGCAGGTTTATAGAAGGATAACCTCGATTCACATAAACCAGGTGTGGTAGGTTGATGTGGCTAACAGCTTAGTCCCCACCCAGTTGCTTGCTCACTCCCCTGACGTGAGATGGAGGAAACACTAAGGGCAAAAGTCTTACGAACCTAATATAGTAAAGAACTGAGAGTGAAAATTTTCAAACAAGGCCACAACTAAGTAAAGAGGCCATGTATATGTTTTCAATTTTTATGGGAAATGTTACTGCAGTCCAGATAGTGTAGATATAAACCTTGTAAAAACAAGATTTTCTGAAAAAGCACCTATATCTTCCCTTCAGTGAAGTACAACTTACCCCTTCTGACAAAGTGGAGAAAAATTCGAATAAACACACAAGACCTTGTGAAAGAGAAAGCTAGAAAAGTCATTTGTCTGAAAAATAGACACCATGAAATGACATAATTAAAAAAAATAAAGGCAACCAGGTAAAGTCTGCTGCCACCTTGGCTTAAGGATGCAAGAGCTGCTCTTGCTGCCAGGAAGATCTAATTTTGCCATGTTTTTATCAAGTAATTCTCGTAGTCTACCTCCCCTTTCTTGCTGAGCTGCTTGTCAACTCACTATCCAACTGTACACAAATACATCAGGAATGGATCAGGAATGAAACGTTCTCCTTTCTGGGCAGTCCTTTTCGCACTACCTGGCTCTCCAGCAGTTACAAGGAGTACGGATCTGCTCACTTTATTCCACTGTCATTCAGCAGCTGCTTGCTTAGGTAGCAGCAGATGCTTGAGCAGCCAATTAATAACGGCAGAACTAAAACATCAAGCAAAAATTAAATATACTAATTTAGTCCTAAAAATAAATTTCATCTACTGGCACGGGCCTGATGGCAAAGACCTGTGACAAAGAGCACAGTTCACATGTCACATCAACCAGCAGCAATAAGAATAAAATATTCAACCCACACAGGCCAAAAGTGCAACAGAGAAACACAACTTTTCTTCTAGTGGGGTGGGGGATGACTGACAGCAGAAGGCAGCCAGATAGAACTCCAGAAGGTTCCTGGTGTGCCTTGATGGGAACTTCCTGCCACAAGTGCCAGAGTCAGTGAGGGGAAGTGATCTGCAGAACCTCACACTGACCAAGGAGGAGGTGTTTACTGGGGACATGAAGATCAAAGGCAGCCTTGGCTGCAGAGATCATGAGATGGTGGAGTTCAGGATCCTAGGGGCAGGAAGAAGCCAAAGAAAGCTCACGACCCTGGACTTGAAGAGAGCAGACTTTGGCCTCTTCAAATATCTGTGTGGTGGAATCCCATGGATTAAGGCCCTCAAGTGAAGACAAGAAAGCTGGGTAATACTCAGGGATCATCTCCTTCAAGCTTATGAGAGATCCATCCCAAAGACTCTGAAAACAGGTAAAACGCCAGGAGGCTGTATTCTTGCCCTTGGTGCAAGACTTAAGCAAACAGGTTAAGTCCATGGGCCCCTATGGGATGTACCAAGTGCTAAGGGAGATGGCAGATGCCATTGCACAGCCACTCCTGACCATCTTTGATCGATCACGACAAGTGAGAGAAGTGCCTGAGGATTAGAGGAAAGCAAGTGTCACTCCTTCACTTCACTTCACTTCACTGTCACTTCAAAAAGGAAGACCCAGAGAAGTACATACAGGCTGATCAGTCTCAGGTGATGGAGAAGCTAACCCTGGAAACCATTCTTCAGTTACATAAATGACAAGAAAATCATCAGGAACAGTCAACCAAGTGGGTCACCTTCTCTGATGAAAGACAGATATGGAAAGGGCAGGGGGCATTGTCTACCAGGACTTCAGTAAGGCCTTTCCCACTGTATCACATAAGATTCACATAGACAGCTGTTGATGTACGGGCTGGCTGAGCAAACAGTGAGCTGGATCAAAAGCTGGCTGATCAAGCCCAAAGGGTAAGGTCAGTGACCAGTGATGTACCCCAGGGGTCAATACCAGATTTATTCCTGTTTAACACCTTCATTAATTATCTGGATGAAAGGCAGAACATAATCTCACAACACGCTGCCATCCAGAGATACCTCAGCAGGCTGGAGAAATGTGCTGACACAAACTTCATGAAGTTCACAAGGAACAGTGCAAATTTCTTCATCTGGGTAGGAACAACCTCATGCACCAAAATATGCTTAAGGGCATCCAACTGGAAAGCAGCTTGACAGAAAAGGCTTTGGAGGTCCTGGTGGACATCAAGTGGAACATGAGCCAGCAATGTACTGCAAAGAAGGCCAACAATATCCTGGGATGCATTAGGAAAAATGCTGCCAGCAGGTCTAGGTGATCCTTCACAGCCTTCACTCAAGCCACACCTGGTATAGTGTCCAGTTCTGAGCTCCACAGTGGAATACAGAACATGGACATCCTGGAGCATCCAACAATAGGCCATGAAAAAGACAAAGGAACTGAAGAATAGTTCCTATGAGAAAAGGCTGAGAGAGCAGGGATTGTTGAGCCCACAAGAGAAAGCTCAGGGGGTCACATTAATGTGTACAAAAGGCGGGTGTATATGTATACAAGTTGCAAAAAGGGACAGAGCCAGGCACTTTTCAGTGGTGCTTAGGGACAGAACCAGAGGCAGTGGGCACAAACTGAAACACAGAATGTTCCACCTGAACACCAGGAAGCACTCCTATACCATGAGGGGATGGAGCACTGGCACAGTGATTGTGGACAATATCCTCAGAAATATTCTAAAGCCTTCTGAACACAGTCCTGGCTCCAAGTGGCACTTCTTGAATAGGAAGGTTGGACTAGATAATCTCCAGAGAGCCCTTTCAACCTCAACTAACCTGTGATT